AACGTTCGAGTTCTTATGATTTCGCTACGCCGAACTTTTTTCGCAGCTGCCGTGAACAACTTCGAGTTTGCGTTAAAACAGTTTATAACAATAATAATAGTACTTACTTACTTAATACTTGAATGGCCCATCCTCACTGGTTGTGCGGACACGGACCCTAGCATAATCTCCATTTTTCGGAGATTTGCTGGTTAAGCCATCATGGTTCCCTGTAGTCCCGAGGTCATCCTGGCCAAAGTCTGGCCCAGTTCTTCACCACCACAGGCAGTCGCAGCTCTTGTGGATCAAAGGGAGATTTACCATCATGTGACTTTGATACCAGGACGGTGGTGGATTCTGGTATTGGTTTACTCTTAGCTAGGCTTCCTGATGGAAACGCCGGACTCCTTCTCGGCTTAGAAGACCCTGCCAGAGGATGAATCCCTGCTGTACAACGCAGTCCGAAACCCAGAAACACCTCCCAGCCACGATGAAGCGGTAAACCGTTGGGAGGAATAACAATATAATAATAACAATATGCCGATATCTAGTTAGGTGAACGGGTGACCGGAGGAACTGAATGAGGCACGGGAGCACTGGGATGCGGCGATCCTGAGGCATTGGTAATGCAGGGACTCACATACACACTCCCAGTATGAGACTGGAACAGCCTTCCTCGTATCCCTTTTGTAATGAGTGAAGCTTTTACAGAGGTAAACGAAGACAGTTCTCAGAGAAAGGTTCTGAAACTTCCTCGGCTAGTGCAATCTGATAGAGCTACTTGCGGATAGCACAGTGGTAGTGATGTACGTTATCACGTGCACGGTCCTAGCTCGATTTCGTTATGGGCCAACCAAACCTCTCATTCTTCCGGGGTCGGGGCAGCGGTACTGGACTTTTCTGGAAAAAAAGCTCTCTGCAATCCAATTCAAAGCGCTCCAGCCCGACTATCTCAGGATTCCAGGAGAATTGCTCGACAAGCTTTCTACGACATTCAGGATGAAATGAAAATGCTCAAGCAGCAACCGAAGCCACACGTAAAAGTTGGGAGATCTTCGTGAACAATGGATGCGAGAAAGTGAATCGAATGTGAGATCTGCACAGTAGACGTGAACACGGGTCACATAAAATAGGATTTAAAAAATACTTACGTAGAGACAGAGGCGGCGCGGTGATTAGCGGTGCAGTCTATCAAGATGCAAGGTGCTGTTCAACTCCCTCGTAACGCTATCCTCCAATCCACGTGTAAATGCTTCAGCTCGGTTATCATCATGATTTTAGGAAGAAATGGCGGGAGATGAAATGCTCAAGGCAGCTGAAACAACACTGCGAAATGTTCGGACTGAATTGGAACAGCGGCTGAATGTGGAAAAAAACTACTCGAATGCAAAAGTGCTGGGATTCGCACGGTAGATGTCTTAGTTGGCCAGTGGGATATGGAATAGTAGGTGGTCGGATTTGTCCTCTGTCTTCAAATGTAGGTGGAATGCTCGACTTTGTACGACTTCACCACGCGGGCGTTTTTTCGTAGCTGCCGTGAAAAAGCTTGAGTTTAGGTTAAAACAGTTTATAGCAGTAGGAGCAATACAATGATAACAATATGACAATATCTAGTTGGGTGAAAGGATGCGAGCTAATCACTTGAACAATGCACCGGGCACTAGGAATACAGAGTTTCACACAAAAGCACCCAATATGGGTCCAGAATAGTGCTCCTCGTATTCCTCCTGTAATTGATTGGGTTTTTAAAAAAGTAACGAAAGATAGTTCTTAAACAGAAGTTTTGAAACGTTCTTAGTTAGTACAATCTGATAGAGCTACTTGCTCAGAAAGTTGATGAAGTCTGTACAAAAGCTTTTACAGAAACTCCATGTGACAGCAATGCAGTGGCTTATACAAAAAGTTGATTAGAATGGCAGATGCTGGAAAGTACATGCAGCTGACAGCTGCTCATTCAGTGTCCAAACTGTCGGACAACGAAGAGTGGTTTATACTAGGAAGTTACAGAATCGTCTTCCACCCATCTGCGGAGCAAGTGCATGCGATGGTTGCTAAGAGACAATCTACAGAATATGCAAGGATAGATATAGGATAATTACACATAAACAGTTAATATAGAAAACATGTGATATTATAGAAGACAAGAACTATTTAAAGAATATAACTACTATAATGCTGAGATATTTGCAAAACTCCGGACCACAGGTGTCTGCGGTGGGGAACGAAGGCGTTATTGTCATCTCCAGGGAGTAACTCGTTCACCACCACACCATGCGGATCCATCGTTTCGCCTGCCTCTCAGCTAGTTCTATCGATCTTTTGCCATCACAAAAAGGTTAAGATTGTGATTATAACTATAGCCTCAGCTTAACTGGGCTCAATGCTGATTTGGACTCCCCAGATCAATCCCGTTGACGTGTGATTGCTGATGGCAAAAGATCGATAGAGCTAGCTAAGAGACAGCCGAAACGAAGGACTCGCATGGTGTGATGGTGAATGCGTTACTCACTGGAAAGGGAAATGGCGCGTTCGTTCCCTACCGGAGACACCTGCGGTCCGGAGTTTTGTAAATATCTCAGCATTATAGTAGTTATATTTCGCAAAATACCCTGCCGTTAAAAAGAATACGCAGCAAATAAAAAGGTTAAGATTATTTGAAAATAGTTACTATAGCAGACGTGATGACGGGTCATATGAAAGAAGCATTCGTATAGCCCGCCACTAAATATTTTGTGACCTAACAGTTCTTTCGTTCTGTACGCTATGGTGCATCTATCATCCAAGAAGGTCTTCACATTTGCGTATGAGCTGGTCTAGTTCTTGAGGATTATGTCCGTGTCGTGAGAGTGTTGAACGCTGGTCGAGTTGGTCTTTTCTAGAATCTTGGTATGAATCTACTACCGCGTTTCCAGATCTACATCACAGTCAGATCGGACACTGATCATCGAAGGGGTTTATTCGAAATGATCCGGAAACGGCTTGTCGATTGCAGGAATGAGGAGCTTGGTTGGTTCAGTATTTTGCAACATCTTGAAACACTGCCCTTTCCTAGTACGGTGAATAGTATCGTCTTCATAGAGCTGATAACAAAAATTCGCCAGAGCATGGTGTGAGCTATTAAAACATCAAAGCTCGCGTATACCAGGTTATGGAATGCAACATACGAGGAAGGCAGAGTAAAGTCCGATTCTCAGCACTCACTCTTACTTCTTCCTGAAGGCAGGGTGGTGATTGGTTCCTAATCTTTCTGGGCGTGTGACGAGAGAAAGTGAAGTAAAAAAGATTTTTTATGTGAGCTGACTGAGGCTTTCTACCAGAAATAACGATATTTCACTGTTTACCTCATAAATGTGGCCTTTGTCGATAGTTGCGCGCTTTCTGGTTGATGTCAAGTTCCATATTTAGTACGAAGACTATGGTAGGTACGACAACAAGACTGTGAGAATTTCGAATAGATTGACGTATTTTGAAACCTACATCTTCCTACTACAATTCCATAAATAATGAGAAGGATATGGTAAGACAGTCCGAACCTACAGACATTCGAAACGAAATGATTCGGCTACACTCTTAAGCATAAATCTTGGAATCAATTTCGAACAACGATTAACAATACACGAGTTATAGATGTGTCGCGATAAGGCAGTTACAACGGTTTGTTTAACTTGTCTACATATTTATGACATCAACGATGTACAATTGTGCTTATAGTCCTATTTAGAGGCGATGGCACAGATGTCGCTCTGAACAAACAAGCGACATTAGCAACCAAAAGCCTGACATCATTTGAAAACAGTGTATCAGGAACGTTGAGAATCTAAAATCCTGCAACTCCAAGTAGTTGTAAGTTCGATCGGATGTAATATGATCTATTCCCTTTTTCCCTATTTCCAACTCCAAGTAGTTTCAAAATTTTCCTCCAGATATGAAGAAGAAAAATAGTTATTGAAGGCTCAAGATGTCGCTGACTGCAGGGTGAGCAAGTGTACTAAAACTCGTTCACCTTGATTTTGATGTTGATTGATAAAAGCGTGAACCCTCCCACCGGGAAAGGTTTCAGGTCGTCTCCGACTCCATTTTGGACAGCTCCATATGAGGTTTACCAATTCGACTTTCTTTGCTTAATGACAATCTTCTTAAGCATTGCTAATAACAGATCGTGGCATGTCTTACATTCAGTAATTGTAATCATTGTATAATTTTATTTGCTGCCTATTATTTCTTTACGGCACGATATAATTTGTTATACAACCACGATGATGCTAAGATATTTGGAAAACGTGGACCGCAGGCCAAATACGAGCCCGTAATAACACTTTTCGGTGGCACACGTGTTACTCACTGCACCACTAAGGCCCTTGTTTTGCCTTTCTCTCGGCCATTTCTTTGTCCTGACGTTACGATCAGTAATCACTTGCCAAAGGAAATTATCTGGAGAGCATAAATCGGTATTGAACTAACTTTAGTTGACGGGGTAGTTCCATAGTTGTTATATTAATTCTGTAGAAGAATTCAAGTCCAGTGGTCTTCGGGTTGCATTGGTTTTAGGTCTACGTTGAGATCATCCCGTTATTCTTATCAAAAACTGCATTGAACACATCTGCCATCAATGGAGGAACAAAAAGTGTTGAATGGGTAAGAAACGGGAAGCCAGTATGTAAGTCAAGATATATTTGGGCTTAGGCAACCGATAAACGTTGAGAGATATATTGGTTCGAAACAATAGTAACCATCACGTTCTATATATCATGCAAGATATTCTATATGTAAAACGATAGTGTTGCAAGCTTTATTTGGCGCAGAAATAAGATTTCAGGCAAAAAATATCTATTGAAATGTTGCTGTACTCACAAGAAAGTTGTAAGAGAAAAATCAAATCGCGTCAACAAAGGGAACTAGTATTTCATTGGATTCCTAGGATATAAAACATGGATTCAAGGAGTAACAACAAGAGAAAATAAATGGGTCGATATAAAAAAAGTCAATCGAAGAACGATGAAAACGCGAAAATGACGGTAAGATCAGCTGTTTCTGAAAGGAAACGCAAGACCGTAGAAGGGAAGAAGAAATGGCAGAATACGTGGATCGTCGAGTTCGCATTCACGAAATCCTTTCGCAAATGGGTTCGACTCGATCTTCAAGGACGTAATCTGGACGAGAAATCATATTCATTCATATTTTTTCCAGCATCAAAAAATAGTAGGCTAATAGGAAATTTAAAAATATGGTTATTATGTACCCGTATCCTCATCGCGTTCCCTTGTAGCCTTTTCAGAGAAAGAACGAATTTTTCTTGTATAGAAGAATAGACATCAAAAAAGCCTTGGAATGTTCAATCAATGCAGACACATCGGATTCATTGATATTTACGTTGGGCGAAAGCAACAGTGCAAAGTTTATCAGCTTGAGGAAACCATAGCGTATTGAATGTGCCAGAGTACGAGAGAAAACACAGTGTCTCTGTTGCAACTGGGACGTTGGAAGTGCAATGGTTAGAGAAGCAATGCTACGACGATGGCCGCTGCCTCGATTCCGCATCCGGGCCATATAGCCCACCATTGGGCATTGCTAACGAAATCGACGATATTCTAAAGCAGTATTTGAACCGACAGACGAAATCCGAAGAACTCAACTCTACAGTTGACCGATTCAAGAAAACACATCGGGTGAAGAAAACCGTTGAGGTCTCCCCGATTTGCGATTTTGAATCATCTTAACATAAACAAATGAGTAATAATCACAAATACTACTTAAAAGTAGTTGTAATTATTGACACAGTTCGTCTCTTGCTACGAATACATACGAAGACAGACGTTAGAGCAATTTTCATGAGTCGAAGCTCACAGGTCGCAGTTTCGTCAGACGACCATAGCGTTATTACTATTCTATAGCCTGTGCATTCGATCCTTTTCCTGAGAAGCGAAGACAGATACAACGATAGTAAACGTGCTAGTCAAGAGTATGAAGACAAGTGCCCTACGACTAAGCAGAATTAGAAACTATGCGAAGCATTCTTCTTTTGGTGGCCTATGTCTCAATTAATAAGTGTTAGAAATCGAGCTTAATTTCAAAATTGCTATTCAACTTGACGGCGACTGTTTATTCCTGTCATTTAAACACATCGTGGATGTAAATATATTGCACATCTATTTGATCGAGTTCCAGTCGAAGTAAATCATGTGGATATGTTCATGTGGCAAAATTCCTATTATTCTTACTCAACCATCGACGGTTGCCTTCCCATCGCTTGTGTTTTATATTTGTAACGAATTCCACTAAAATCGCCGGCATTCGTTCACATGATCACTGTCTTTTTTAGAACAACATTAACTGGCAGGTTTTAGATTCCATTTTCTCAGAAGGGTTTGTCTTACAACCCAAAATATTTAGAAAGACATTTTCGAAGCGTCAAACTCTATGTTGCGCATCTAATGTGCAAGGCTCGATAGAAATAGCAATCTAAGAACACTACGTGACATCACTACGCTGGCTAGCAGAAGTGCTGGCTGTCTAGATTAATTCTTTTCGTTGTCTGTGCACCGACTTGACGACGGACGAGTGTTTTTATGGAAAAGACAGGATTTGAGTAATTTAAATCTCTTTTTCTCCTCCAGAGCATCGAATTTACGGAGCGGCTTTGTATGACATTTAGTAGTGGCAATCAGGGTTTGCTGAAATGATTCTCAGAAGATTACGGTCAACAGTAACAAATGGACAGCATCTTTTAGATGGGCCAGAGCGATACAAGAAGACTCCCATTGTTCTCGTAGCGTCATCGCCATTCGACCGCACAGGCACTGAACAATCTCGCAGTAGTCAACAGTTCGAATTATATGGGTAGGGCACGACTCGATGTCTTTACTTTCACGCATGCACTCGTACTCTTACACACTCTTATACAGCTGTAAATCACGCTACATAGTATGTACGAATAGGGATATAAATCCATGGAACGTGCAATAGAAATTTTTAAGACCTAAGCTTGAGCCTGGTTCTTTGCACGAGCTTCTGCAATATTCTTACCTCAGAGAACTTTTTATTTTTGGTTAGGAATACAATAAAATCGATTGACTGAAACAAAGGCCGATCTGCTTTAAAATCTTTAGAAAAAACCAAACCCGATGATTCTGATACGCAGTTACTGCGATGAACGTCGTTTCCTCAAAAGAGATTGTTATGCGCTCGATGTTACTCCTGGTCTCCGGCTCATCACCGCCATCAAAATGGCGAACTAGATGAATTCGTGGAAGATATCTATGCATCGAGTTGACGATGATCTAAATGCAAGAAAATCATCGGTTAGAACTGCTCTTTGTTGCTTCTTGGCTTATCACAGTGCAAACTGGGAAACCGCGAACTAAACCATGATCAGAACGTTTCAGATGATTGTAGACAACAAAAGTGCAATAACGATTAGTTGTTATGAATAATCTGAACAGCGTTTCCGTTTATGCGAAAGCACTAGTCTAGATAACTTGTTTTTTTAATATTTAAAGATATTCTTTAGAAACATGATCGCGTCGTAGCCCATATTCACAAGAATCTCAGAAACCAATGTGCGAAACACCTGAGACATTCTGCAAAAATCTTAAGAATCCAAAGATGAGCATCAGGAATGAATGCCCGTAATAACGTGCGATCTCTAAGGCATCTCAGACTGACGTCTTAACTAGTGACAGGTACACTTCTCTTCTATGTAAACTCTACTGCTGATCTTCATCAATAATCGGAAGACTTAGGAATGAAGAAGTCTTGACTGAAATATGATCACAGTGGTGCTGATATAAGGGCAAAAACCTCCGGAGTGCCTCAGACACGCGATTGCCCTTACCGGCGGCTCACTTGCTATTCATCACACTAAACATGTGCCTCTCCTTGCCCATCTCTGAGCCAGTTTCCTGCAAAGGAAATGCATCGGCTGGTGTCGTGGATAGCACGTGAGCCCCACGTAAGAGTAATCGCGGGTATGAATCCCAATCCCAAGTTTTGCTTACATCTCAGCGGTCATATGCTTATATTTTGCATCGTGCCCTCCCATAAAAGGGGGGTAGGTGGATGATAAAAGTAAAACGTCGCAAGATTGTGTTTAGAAAGGAAGCCGGGTGGTTTCTGTATATTGCATGAACCCAATGAGAGCGAAGGCCAATCAGAGTTTTTTGGAGATTTCATGGAAAACCATGCTTGACCAGAACTTAACACATCAGTGTGGACAGAAGTGAACAAATCCTCAAGCTACAGCTGGGCGCACACACGTGCCCAAGTACTTTAAAGATCGCGCTTGCAGGGCAGTAAAATGTCGGTTGCATGTGCAATCGAATTTCAGTTTCAGTTGATATTTTGGTATTGAGCAGTCCATTTAGCAGATCTATCCATGCTCAACTAGTTAAAGTGTTCAATTCCAGTTTCGCAAGTTGCAATCGTCCACCTAATGCTAAACTTCCCTTTGCATGTTCTTGTTCCTCATCGTAGTGAAGATATTTGGTGACTTTATCCATCTTTTTGCCTTTTCGATCTAATGTTACTTATCAATGTTGAAACCGCCGTAGAGCGACGAACTTCAAATTTGCATCGAGGTCCTACTTCAGTGGTTTTTGAGCACTTTTGTCATAGAAGTACTGCTTTCATGACAATGAATTGACATGACGAATTACGTTAATACATCATTCTACAAAACCTACTTCGGGGTGGTGGGTATTTATCGTTCTGTAGTAAAATATGTTGTTTGCTAACGCCAAGCGCCTCATATTTCCGTCTCTATCGGCGTTCTTCTAATTCTAATAAGGTCAATGCGAACTGTCCGGATAAAATATTTAGCTGATATTTAAGACGGTTAGTGGGGTAGATCACCAGCTTCACTGCAGATAAGTGTCCTGGATATGGAAATTTAATGTAAAGTTGGAGTTAAGACTGATAAAAAGCATTACTTGTACTATGAAAGATTCTGACATCCGAAAGACCAGCCGAGAGCTATAGTAAGAGTTGCAGCAGCCCTTCGAGAAACTCTGATGTACAGCTCCTTCCGACCTTCGAAGTTTGTTAACTACCAGTGGTGATGAACCAATATCAAATATATTCAAATATGGTGAACGTCGAGAAAGTGGAGCGGTATTGGTGACCTCTAGAGCAGAAAAGTGCATTTTTTGGGATTCAATATGCTCTTGATGATGTGACACAACTTCCTGCTTCGTAAGAGAGTGAAGGACTTCACGATGTGCCTCTAACCCTGAATCATGATAAAATAGAGCTCTGCATTCAAAATCGAGTACGGTTTTTATTATGTTATTAAAACCGTTGAAACATTAGGCCTGCTGTATAAATAAACGCCATTCATACTATATTGACATACAAGAAAGCTTTGGAAACAATGACAAACTCGATGTTTGAAAAATGGGCAAGCTTTTACCTAAAAGGATAAATATAATCGAAAGCATTATCATGGATAAGCTTTAAATACATACATATCACTTGAAAAATTCATTAACCAGTCTTCAGAATTCGAAATAGTGTCAAATGTATGAACGCAAAGGCAATATTACGACATCTACGAACGAAAAGATATATCGCTCAAACCTCATAGAAAGAAAAAATATGGTATGCGGTAGGTACGAGAGCTGATAAGATTAAAAACATTAGCTTGTCTGTTAGTGATAGCTGTGGAGATTCTGTGCAGATTCATCATCAGTTAAATGTTGAGAGAACGAAAAAACATGTTCAAGATGCTTCTTATCGCCCACCTTCTGAGAAGGAATTCAAAAGTCAACGCCGAAAATTGAACCGTAAATAGGTCCGAACGGCAAAAGCTGTTGGTTTAACGCCATTGGTTTTCTATCAGCTCTGAGTTAATCTATCAACCATGTGCCAAACATGCCATGTCCCGTCTTATACTTATGAAAACGCATGAGTTCGCATCCAGTGATAATCTTGCATCTGCCGATGTCTTTTAGTCAAGGTTAGATCTATCATTAGGTGTGTAGACGAGCCAAAGAATAGAATAACGTGGTTTTAACCCCTAATTGTTACACCGTTGTTAAAAAATATTTCAGCCTATATAATGAACACCCAGATGTTCATGGCCAGTCTAACACCAAGTCACTCTAACGTAAATGGCGTCCTAATAGCGCTCACGCGATGGAGTCTGGACGTTGTCGTCTTTTATTCAAACGTGTCAGGTGACTCCGCTACGCAAGCCAACCTCGAACTGCTCATGCAGTATGAAGGAAAAATAAACAGAAAATGCTTAAGCTGCTCAATCTTCGGATGTTGCGGAAAGCATTACGTTCAAATGGGAAGGTTGGCAATGGGACAACGACTGGCACCAATTGCTTTGCCATTGCATTTATGTCTAAGATGGAAGTACCTGCAACCAATCTCAAGCCATTACTCTACTGTGGATATATAAATGGCTGCCTTGTCATTCCACCCAACGGTTTACCACTTCATCGTGGCAGGGAGTGTTTCTGGGTGTCAGACTGCGATGTACAGCGGGGGGATTCATCCCTTGGCAGGGTCTCCCAAGCTGAAAAGTTCGGCACTTCCCTCAGGAAGCACAGCTAAGAGTAAACCAAGACCAGGGTTCACCACCGGTCTGGTATCAAAGTCGCACGGTGGCAAATCTTCCTCTTATCCACAAGAGTTGTGGCTGTTTGTGGTGGTGAAGACCTGGCGCAGACCTTAGCCAAGCTGATCTCGGGATTTCGGAAAACCACAATGGCTTAACCAGCAAATCTCGGAAAAATGGAGATTATGTTAAGGTCCGCACAACCAGTGAGGACGGGCCATTCAAGTGTGAACTGTCAAATGTCAAGTGCTTTGTTATTTGCTCTACACAGGAGAAAATGGATAAATATTTTGAGTTATTGAATGTAGAGTCAGAGAATGTGAAGTTTATCTGAGAGAAATCGAAAAAAACTGGTTTCAATTTCTGAACGTCCAAATTAACCATTTGAAAACGGTTATATTAAGAAGTGGTGCAGAAACCCAAGTACAAAAAATATACTGTTTCATTAGCTCTCCTCTTACCCCTCGCACAAAAAGGGTGCTGTGAAAAACATGTTTCGAAGAGCCATAGGCGTGTACACAGGAGAAGCGAGCAGAAGGAGGAATCGCAGAGATTGGCGCCGTAAACAGCTTTTTACCCGTGGCTATGAAACTATAGCTCGTCGATATAGAGGAGAACCTAACTCCCAAATGATAGCTTTAGCAAAAATAAAGTTTTGTCCATTCTGCCCTTAATCTCAAATGAAATAAGTGCGGCTACATAACCTTGCTTAAGAAAGACCGGTCTAGAGGATTCGGTTACAGTAATTGAAAAACCGGCGAGCTTGCTAGTTAGCAACCGACTGCATAATCGTCTATGCACAACTCCATATTGTGTAATATGCCCTAACGGTAGAGACAGCGATTGCATGAGTTCGGGTACGTTTCATTTGACTTCTTGTAAAGGGTGCAGGGATGAACACATCGACGAAACAAGTAGACCACTCTGCGACCGCATAAAAGAACGCTTGGTAGGAAAACTTAAAGTGGAACCAAATACTACTCCACTAGAAGCTTTTAAAACACACAATAATCCGGAAGGATTTTGAAGTAGAAGTTACCATCTTCGAGTAGGAATCGAAAGCATCTGCGCTCAAAAGTCTCGACGCTTTCTGGATGTTTCCAAGAATCCGAAAATGAACCGCAGGGAGGAATGCCGCGCGATCACGCTTGATTTCAGGCAGTATTTAAGGCTGCTGTTTTAATCCAAGAGGTAGATTACGCTGCCATGTAAATTCTGTGTGGTTGGTATCAGAGTGACATACTCATACTTAAGACATAGAAGGCGGCGAGTATGCTAAGAAGTAATTTCATTTTCAATGCGATTGAAATTAAGGCAGGCACTTTCTCTGCTTGCTTATAGAGGTACTTACCTGGATAGATTGCAGTCAAGTTGACCCTTATAGGCTCTGAGGAAGGCGAAATACGCCGAACCGTCGTTTTCATCGTGGTATAAAATAAAATAACAATCCATGTTCAGCAGGAATATAAAGAATTATCTGATCAGTGTCGAGGTTAACAGGAACTAAGTCGTGGTAATTACAAAGGTAATGAACTGAGCTCATAATGAAAATGTGACATTTTCGGGGCATGCTTTGGTATTAACATAAAAGTGATAAGTTTCGTAGAGTTAACAAATGTAATAATAATGTACCAGAGCTGCTTAAATAGCCTCCTAGGTAGTAGCTCAATGAAAGTCCGTAGTTCTGGGTAAGCAAAAGTCGCCACTATGAGTTTGACTTCAAAGGAATGGAGAGCTCCCCAAACCCCCGAATGGAAGTTTACTCAGCTAGCGTACCAGATACTGTATATCCTCTTATAGAACGAATGCTATAGTGAATTAGTCACTTGTCTTGATGATGACAAGAATGTTCTCCCTCATAAATTTCCGTCTCATATCCTTCCTCTCCTACTGTGGTATCATTTATTTAGTAGAAATACCTGTGTGTAACAGATTTGTGAACGTATTGGGCTTTCAAAAGCTGCTAGTGATTGATCGATTGTTAGCGGAAAAATTGAGAACAGAATAATACGTTTATGGAGGAAACATTGGTTCATCGCTTTTCACTGCGTTTATATTTCTACAAGATATCCTTGCATTTCAAAGCTAAAGTTTTCAATAAAACTCTAGCAGAATTTTAGTTTCTAGAGTTCCAACAGAGTGCAGAAGGGAAATCATTGTGTTCTGCTGCACGAAATCCGCTTTTTAATTGGTTTGCAGTCCTACATACGTCGACGAAAAGAAGCTAAAATGTACGCTTTACATGTCCCAGGAACTGGCATTGGAAAACTTTTATTGGAAGAGATTTTCATATTTTTATCCTTTCTATTTCAATCAATAAATCTTATTATGTTTTAAGATGTATTCGCTTAAATTTAAAAGCTGGCCAGTATTTTCACACTCCATGAATCACAAATGATTCATGCGATCGCTGATATGCTAATGACGCCAATTTTTACAAGGAAAGAGAAAGAAAACTATTGTTGAAGGAAAAGATCAAAATGAACATAGAGTAGGGCCTACGTGAGATTTATTAAATGAAAGATTAACTCAAAAAGATAGTCGGCTTGATTATACTTGTATCGCAGGAGAGGATAAAGAATAAAGCTTCCACCACACATTAGTTCTTTAAGGTCGTACCTTGCATGCCTCTTAGTTCATAATGTTATGGAGGTGATTGGATGCGTTTCTAATCTACACATTGAACTGCTGTAGCCTTTGCCTGACCTCGGAGGGATGGAGAGCATGGTAAGCTCGGGGCATGGGATCGAACCAACGACAGCGTGTGCACTGCAGAACACATCTAACCACTACGCTGCGCACGTCGTCTTAGGTCAAATGTGTGATCAAGCTCGTTTTTCCACTTTTAGGCTACTTCTACTGCTAAGAATTTTCGTACCATGTGGTGACGACAGCTGACAAGACACAGATGCCCTCAAGTAGCTTTCATTTAGGAAGAAAGGGGAAAATCTAATGACACGAGAATTTAAACTTGCGTTGCTTTTTTTTCGAAAAGCAGTGTGATAGAACTCACATGTCCGTTCTGATCCAACTGATTATTAGTAAGCTTTATTTTGTCGAACGAAACACTTCCTTTCATCCAGTGAGCGCCACGTGCTGGACTATCCGGATGCACGAAAGTCCGACACGGCAACTCGGCCTCGCCTGAAATATGACGTTCCATCGTTTCACTTGGGTTATTCATTACATATCAACTAATGCAAGCTGGTTATGCATAGATGAGAGGAGAACCAATCTCGAAAGGTTAGCACGAGTTAGGAATGTGTAACTGAATAATATTACCACCTTCTCTTGCAGAAAGCAGATATTGTTCATCAAAGAGTACAAGTGCATGTCGGCGTTAGCACATCTACTGTTTGTTTTTTCATACATAGCCACCCGACTTCAACGGATATCTTGACTCCTTTCATTGATTAGTTCGTTATACTAATTCACTACTTTTGAAAACCTTCGTTAATATAACTTCGGCGTAAATAGCCAGTATTTTGCTGCTTTCGTGTGCTTAAACGATGTTGTTATGAAATTTTATTATAGCTAATGTTTTGGCACCTTAGCCTACCTTAGCCTTCATTAGAGTGGCAATGATTCGAACCAGATGTTCACAGCAGTAGTTTCACCTTGCATTGTGGGTCTTCGTAGTTACATCGAGTCGAGTCCAGTGGAGAAAAGCACTGGTCGACGAAGTGGCCTCAGTCGACAATGCCGTTATATACAGGATGACTGGTCGAGGCCCAATATCACATAAGCGGAGTGGAATAAATGCTGTGACAAAAGAAACAGCTGCTGTTGACGGCCAATTCGAATCACTGCAGCTCTGAAGAAGGTGAAAATGCGAAAGCATTAGCAATAGTGAAAATTCCATTGCATCTCGTGCAAGCTCATGGAAATAAACGATTAAACTAATAATGTTAACCTTTTATTCGTTGCCTCTTATAATTTTGCACGACAGGGTATGTTGTAGAATACAACCACGTCGATGATGAGATATTCGCAAAACTTGGATTCCGGGCTAGATCGAACCCCGATTACCCTCTCCCGCGACTCGGTTATGACGCACTGCACCACGAAGACCTTTGATTTGCGTTTCTCTCAGCTAGTTTTCTACCTAACACTGCCATCAGCAACCACCCGTCAAAGGGATTGATATGTGAAGCACAAATCAGGATTGAACTCAGTTAAGCTGACGCTGTAGTCGAAATCACAATGTTAACCTTTTATTTGCAAAAGCCCAGGTGGCTCAGCGTGTGATACGCGAGCCCACGGTAAGGGTAATCGTGGTTCGTTCTGGCCCCGGGTCCAAGCTTTGTGAATATCTAAACACCGTCGTGGTTGTATTAAGCTAATACTTTCTTCTAACACCAAAGCGTTAGCGTTATTATCGCAGACTCTAAGCTGGTTCGGACTAATTCAATACACATTCTCTCTGTGCATTACTTAATTGATGAAAACCAAAAGTGCAGAATAAAGTAAAGCTAGAGTTAATAACTCAAATTTGCTCTCATTTTGCCCGACTTTTTTAAAAAACGTTTTCTCTAATCCACAAAGACTCTGGACCTGGAGACTTTTGTTCAGATTTGTCTTAAGATTCTACGTAGTACCTAGCTCAGCAGCCCTCTACGAAATGTCATCTGAACCCACATGAAAATGCTAAAACGGATGAGAGGTACAAGCTGAAAGGGCAAAATCCATCAATTCACACGGTGTGTATATAAGTTCTTTAAAGCAAATAAGAGACGAAGAAAAGCGTTGCCCATAAAAAGTGGTCTTTAGTCACTAATTAATTGTACGTATCACTTCCATTCGCTTCCCACTTATTGCTGTGGTGATCCAAGTGAATAAATTCGGCTAATACGTGATAGAGGCGGATTCAACTTTTGTAGAAATACTTATCATTTTCCATAAGCAGTTTTATACAGCAGTTGAAACTCGCCCATAACTCCCAACTCCCAAATTTGCATGGCTCTCGTGTTCGACGATTCCTAATCCCGTGTTATCATGGACCTTCCGGCTTTTTCCTGCAGTAAGTACAGTTTTTGCGATACATAGAGGGCTTGCCGTGCTGAGAACGTAACAGAATTGTAAAAGGAACTTTGATTTAACACCGTAGTGGAGCGCACGACATGTACTTTACTATTTATTGCACTTTACAGTAGCCCGTTATATGAATGCACTGTTGTGAGAATTTAGGTATATTGTGAGTCGATTTTTAGTTCAATTTCTACGTTCTTATACTGTTCCATTCCATGAGATAGATGTAATTTATCACAGCGATTGAACATGAACTACTAGCAGTCAATTTGCAGTCCAACTACAACTTAAACTAGTCAGAAAAAGCGCCTTGTAAATTATTAAGCGTAGATAAGAGCTTTCTATATGCCACGCCCACCATAATAAAAGTTCTGTATAACAAAATAAGCCGCTATGCCGGAAATACGCACGATCTCCTCTTTCTTCATGGATAAAGGATAAAGGATAAAGCTCTCGGCGTTGATCAATCTCTGAGGGATGCACCGTGCATTCGACTTCATTAAGCATCGTTAGAGGTGATTTGGATGCATATCTGGCCTTTATACTAACTGGCGGTTGCCGACCGATATATCAAATATGTGCTTCTTTCTTTCCAGATAAGTTAAATATCTACATGTCGACCGATTGATGCATTGATGAAATGCTTGGTGTGCCAGCGATACGGGATAGAACCAAGGAACATGTGTGTATTGCAAGACATCTCTAACCACTGGTACCACACGCATCCACTCTTTAATGAACATCTATAAAACAGTCAGATTTTTAACTTTCCCTGTTTTATGTATACACTTAAAAAATGAGGACTTCAAAGATCTGACTTCGCGTTTGTCTGAATGCAAGAATGAACCATTGAGAGCTGGAAATGCTTGCAGTTATATTCCAAATGTTACATTTTCCACCTATCTGAATCAAGATGATATAGAAGAGGTAGAAAAACATGCTGGTCAAGCACGAAATGTAGGAAGAATTTTTCAAAAAACAACAAAAACAACGAATAACAACAACGTTAGAGAGCGAAGGATAAAGCGTTGGTGTTCTATCAACCCTTTAGGAATACACTGCGCTATTCGACTCCATTTTCAACATAGTAGAGGTGATTTAATGCATATTTTTCCGAGCCGAGTCAGCGTTTTTATCCTCGCAGACATATATGGAACGAATATGCTGAACAACGGAAGGGTAGCACAGTGACAGCGATGCTGCTTATCACGACCATGGGTCAGGTTCGACGCTGCACCGAAGTCACCAAGCCTCTTTTCATTCAGTGTTGAGAAGTTGCTAGTGCATTTATATAGAAACAGCTCATTCTCTACAATCCAAATAAAAACGCTTCAGCACGGTTTTCTGTTTCGACTTTGAAGGCATGGGAGAGTTGGTTTGCCCAGGACGAGGGAACGAGCCATAGACCTCTAGTGTATATTGTAAAACTCTTTTAACCATTGCACTATCCTAAAAATGTAACGCATGATGCTTACTTCTTAAGTGGAGAAAATGTACAAATTAATATATAAGTGTCAATCCCTATAAAATGCTTCCAGTTTTCGTAAAATAACTAGTACTGTAAGGGTGAACGTAACGAGCTCAGTAGCAAACATGTGCTAGCGAACTCATATTGCAGCCGTCGCAGCACTCGGAAATATGCCCACCTGGACCTGTAGCCGTCCACTTACTTTGGTGGAAGGAATAACGATAACGCTTGCTGTCTACACATTCCATATCGACCAGCAATGAATAATGAACGTCCGTTTCCAGACCACTGATGGAAATGCTCAGCACAGGAAACATTCGCCTGCAGTTCCTCTATCAAAATGTGAATATTTTTGTTTAAAACATATAAAAGAACTACTTCGTAAAAGTTTCAAACACAACAGAATGTCTACCAAGATCCTCACTGTGAAGTTCGTGTTTTAGATTTGTTGACAGAATGATGTTAGCACATTGCTTATTTCTGAATAGCTGCTCTTCCGACGATTTGCGCCGATGTTTAAATCGCAGTACGGTCAAACAATTCGTTATTGCAAGGGAATAAATTGCTTATTGACATAGGAAAGTAGACGAAGCCTTACCAATAACTTTTCTTAGTTTGAACAGATGACTAAGGTTTTAATTTGAAAACCCTGGATGGATCAAAGCGGAGATATGGGGGTGCTGGGCTGGAGATTTGCACTTCAATTACTCGTTACTCTACCGTCTAAATTCAATTCGGCGTCTTAAAATTTCTTATAATTTATAGTAAACGGTAGCAGTTAAAATATCTTCCTACTTTAGACAATGATTTTAAAGAATGTTATTCATGAGATACTAACCCACTTCATTTGCTGGTAACTCTAGGAACAGATAGCGGTCAGAGTCGGCCATAGCAAGCATTATCGCTTGGATGCAATCCAAAACAACTTATTTGTGAGAAACAACTTTGTTAAATGTTAAAATTTTCATTGAATCACCGTCCGCTCTTCGTGACAATCATCTCTGTGCCTAAGGCATGGAATCGCCTCCACAATGAAATGCCTTCTAGTCTGAAGCGGATACTGCCTCGTTTCACGATTCCTTCGTCTTTTTGTGAGTTGTCGAAGTCCGAAAGTAAGTAATCGATAGAAAAATCTTTCGGCATCTGTAATACATTATAAAATCACCTAATTCGGGTTATTCGATGGTTGGTGGTGCTATATAATATTTAGTGTTAAGAACGAGAATATGGAAAAGGCTCGGCCCGAAGGGAAAACAAAACTCGTATGTTTTAGACTCCAAGTAAAACCAGTCGTCAAAAATTATCAAAAGAAATAGTAGGAATGCATTACAACGATGTCTACAAATTTTTAACCGTACATTGAAAAGTCGCCGCAGTAAGAAGGAATATATCGCAGTAGAAACGTTTTCCAGGTGAACTCACCCACGTAGTACGGTAGCTGTGAGACGACTCTTGTGGTGGCAAGTGTCCGTGTGTCGTTTCCGCGCCGACAATCGCAGCCATTGCGAACACGTGTGCCACATCTGGAATACGGTAAAGTCGATGATCATTCAGGACCGACGTCGAGACTCAACGACAACAGTCATATTGCGTTAACGAGAGCATCGATGAGATTGCCGGCTGAGCGAAAGAACTCATCACGCGACTCTGTTCTGGTCAACTCACGTAAGTGGTAATGACTTTTCATAGTGATAAAAAGTTGATTACACTAGGTTGACTCTTAGATTAGTTCCTAATTTCTCAGTTTAAATAGTCAGCTTATTTGGATAGTTAGATAACAAGTGGATGGGAACCATAGAATAAGACATGGCAGCAAAGATGAAGTGATGTTTGCATAAAATACTTTCAAGGGAAGGACAAATGACGGTCCGTTTGAAAAATTGCTGATGTGTGATTTTTAAATCTGGTAGAGTGCTCGTAGCTAGCAACTGCATGAAGCTGTCTAGGAGCAAATCGGATTCACTCATGCTTAACAATGATTAAAAGTTGAAACAAAGTTTGTAGGACAGAATACTAGTCACGCGACTTCCCACTTGAAACAGAATCAGGTTTTCATGGAGTACAAACAAGCTTACTTTCGACTTATGAAACCATGGCACACCAGGAAAGCGAGGCGAATCAGTTAACAACTAGGGCCTCAGTTCAGCGAATCTATGACCTTTAGACTGGCACCAACGAATACTGAAGCCTGTAGTGGTTTTTTTCTGCAAAATAGCAGGTTTCCATTGACTTTGTTATGGAACTGTCAATACATACACCATATCGGCAACACTCAGTTACTCATCAGCGATCCTCACTTGTCTGGCACGTGAGTTTCTGTTAAGTCGTAGAGAACCAGAAAAAGCTGTTTTGCTGGATATGGAAATGACTTGTAGAAGAAAATTTCCTCCCTTTTCTCGGTTTGCTTTGATTCACTCTAGAAAAAATGCTGCTATTTTTTTGTGTGGAGAATGCTGAGGTTTTAACTGTAGCTACTAAAGTTTTCTTTTTTGAAAAACCCCATTGTTCACAATATTTTTGGCCAGGAAATCTATTGCACATATTCTTTAGCTTTCATTAAGGTAGAGCTACTTTTAAGGGTTTAACTGGATGGAATCTATGTAGCTCATCGCGATCTGCATTATTAAATTTCCTATTTTATAGCGGTACTGGCTCGATGTATCGGAAGGCCACCGCGAGTCATTGTAAAGGCCAGATATGCATTCAATCACCTCCACCGATACTTAATGAAGTCGAATGCATGGAGCATCCCCCAGGAATTGAACAATGCCAAGAGCTTTTATTTACTATTTATTTTATCGCCAAAATTTTTTTTACCTCTTAATTCGTTTATCCCTCCTGCTACAAGGTAAGAGCCATTGCGATGATGTGACTTTAGCTGGTCAAAAGGCATACATCTCATATCTGGGAAACAAAGGAGAATGTTGCAAGATTGGAGTTTTGAAATATGTTTGAAACTTTTCAAAGTTTTGGAAATAACGAGCCGTGCAGTTTTTTCCTCTGTCCTAACGCCTGTGATAGTGTCACTTCCTCGGTGTTCACCTACGATGCCGAGAGATTCCGATAGTCCCCTCGAGCAAGAGGCCCGTTAGGTGATGGACGAGGTGCTGCTCGCATGTTCGTGACGTCTCGTTACACTTAAGTCTTCGACGAGCCAAGATGTGCTCCAGATGCCTGCTCGTCGAAGTCGCGGACGATTGATGGACGATGGAACATCACGCTAAAATCCGGCGCGTCGATGAAAAAGCGACGACAAATTATGAATAACCGCAATATGTTAGATGTTTTTTCGTTTGCAAATCTGGCGTAACCAGTCACGGTTGAAAAAACACGTTGCTAGAAGACAGTTATGAGGCTCGAAAAGGAAGTGGTTGAACTTCTACAGTAATATGCATAATATTTCTTTAGAGCTTTGTCTAACTATGCTTACATCCTAACCGTTTAGATGTTAACATTTTAAATTTGCCCCTATTACACCTTTTTACGTCAGAGTGCTATGTAAAATACAAACGTAATGGAACTGAGAGATTTGCAACGGTTGAGGGCACTGATCGATAGAAAACTAGCTGAGAGACAGGCGAACTGAAGAACCCGCATGGTGTGGTGGTGAACGCGTTAGTCCCCGGAAAGGGTGATAGAGGGTTCGTTCTTCGCCACAGGCACCTGCGGTCTAGAGTTTCAAATACATCAGCATCATTGCTGTTGTATTTTTCACCGCTTAGTTTAATAGTTATTAACTACAACAATGGCAACTACTTTTATACAAGTTGCTGCAAAATGGTTACAGCTGCGAGTATAAGATGTGTACTTATATAACTTGTTAATTCCTTTTCCTACTTGATAATGACTGTTCGTATAACATGATGATAAGAAAGATACCTACGCTTGGAATTCTAGGAGTAAGCGAAATATTCCTCAAATAATATCATCAAAGTTGAGAATGAGCCCAGTATTTCAGGCCGCAGACCCGGGTTAGAGTTGACATACACCAATATTGCATGTCATCTTTGAAGAAACCCAGTGACAAGAAAGCGACACCCTCTCTATTCGATTCAAGTGGAGTGGCGCCCGTATATGCTAACCACCTCGCAAAACCTTCGAGAGATCAGAAATGGAAAAAGGTGTCTCAGTTAGTAAAACACCATTGATAGGAAGGTTGTGCTATGGTTCATTACTGAAATCAAGACTAACGAAAGCAGACCACATAGGTGTTCAAGCATTTGCTTACCTACGAATAATCTAGGGAACAAGCAGATGTCATGTGCATTGTAGTTAAGCATTTTTCAGTTTACTTCAGAAACCGCTTCTCGTAGAGTTTCTAAGATACATAGATGCCCAGAATCCTGTATTCACATTTCGTGCGAATTCCAGCACTTCATTCGCTTTATTGCATTGAAACTGTCATAATAGGCTGTGAGAGAATAGTGATGTCTTTTGAGACGAATCCCTTCTAGAGGACAATGAGTGGTAAAGGGCTCTGCTACTCGTTAACCTACTGCTAGAATGAAATGTAAAAGGCCCAGACAAGCGTTGAAGGTGAACGTTCACTTACAATAATCCTAAAGGTGACCTGAATGAAGTACATGGTGACAAAAACTAACAGAGAAATCATAGCAATATTCTGATCATGTAGGGATGCTGCAGAATGATGTCGTCTGCACTTTTACTGATCTCAAAACAAAGATTCTTCCATTCATGGTCATTTGTACTTGGCACACATGAGGATAGATAAAACCGTACAGTGTTTTATGGAATGAACCGGCATTGAGAGCATGAAAGTCAGAAACTTGTATCATTACTTCAGATGAAATATCTGAAAAAAAGTTATTAAAGGATCCAGGAAATATAGAGTAAAATGGTAAAAAAAGCCTTCGTGTTTTAAATAGGCCATTATTGTCTAGAACATTCCTAAGTACCTAGTTTAATTTCTCTCCGGAACTTTCAGTGACACTTTGCTTGCTTCCTAGCTCAAGCGCTCTAAAGAGAAAGTGGATTTTTTGCTGAGCACACTTTTATTCGGTACTAGTAGTACTTGTTCTGAATAAAAGTGAAAAATTGAATAAGAACTTGAAAAAGCCTGCGAAGTGCTTAACACTGATCTCTTCTTAGCAAAGACAACAGCTAGTATCTTCTATCATCTTCTCTCTGTCTAAATGAAGATAATTAACATTAATGGCTAGACGATTACTTATCTTATTAATTTCTTTTGTGTATTTTTATAGCGTTAACCATTTTATTTACTGCCTGTTGCAGTTTTTCATGACAGGGTACTACGTGTGGTACAACCACAATGGTGCTGAGACATTTGCAAAACTCCGGCCCGCAGGTGTTTGCGGTGCGGAGTTTTGCAACACGCTATTACCCTTTCCTGGGGCTAATGCTTTCACCACCACACCATGCAGATTCTTGGTTTTCATAACTTCAGAAGCAATAATGTTGTAGTTTGAAAAATAATCACCTTTTTTGTTTATTTTCCCAAAAATTTCTAAGCCTTCACGGTGAATGGATAAATATTGCAGGTTCTACAGTTAATTAATAGTTAAAAGATTTAAGTGTTGATCAATCGCCGAGGGTGCTCCATGCATCTGACTTCATCAAGCATCGCCAGAGATGAATGGATGAATATCTGGCCAATACAGGTGTCTGTGTAGTGGCCTAATAATGTATCGAGTCAGTGTTGCAACTTTTCCAGAAAATTGTGCTACGAAATTTCTTACCCCGAAGTGTTAGTGAGCCTGGAGCGCAGAATAGAATTAACGATCACTTGAGCACTGCAAGGCACCTGTAACCACTGCGCTGTTGGCCTCCACGTTATATGACACCTTATCATTACAGATTCAAATAGTGGGTGACAAACGGCTATTCTTTCAAAGGTTCAGCTAGTGTTCCATCACCGATTAGTAAAATTGTAGTTGTTTTTCTTTTACATTTCAAATGCATTGAAACCAAAGTTTTCGCAAATCTACAAAAGTAAATCCAGCAATCCTATAGGTAAGCAGGTCGGAAAAAAAAAGCTTTCACATGGCAAAATATTTTAAGGAAAGGCACACGTTTGAATGTGAAAATATCTCATGCGCCGTGACTCAACTAAAACCAGCTAGAATGGGCGTCACCTCGACCACGTGGATTTTATATCCTTCTAT